CTCCTTAAAATTTTTAATTGCTTCTGTCACTCTCCCTTTACATTCGATTTACATTTTGTTTTGCCTTAAGTATTATTTTCGCAAGGTATTATTTCGAATACAATTAATTCGTTATTATTCTCCAGGTTCGAATGAATACCATTAACCGCTATCAAATATTCAGTCCGATTCCGTTCATCGAATACCATCCTGATATAATTTATGCAGATGAAGCAACAGCTCATGACGAAGTGAATGTCAATAGCAACTATGGCAAATACGATGAGCAAAATTATAATAATATCGCGTTTTATATTAAAGATTATAACGCAAGTATGCATTGTGTTTTCAACTTGTTTCATAAAGTCTGAATATTTTAATATAAATAAAATATTTTATATATATATATATATATATTGGATGTTTTTGTTGAAACGTGTTTCAGTGCGCCAAACAGTCGAGGCGAATATTCCGTTAGTGCGATCGGATAAGGATGTTGCTACTCTACTAAAACTTTCTAAACACAGTCCTGTAACTTCTTTGTTTGAAATGTACGTGTCCTTTAGCGATATACATGTGTTTCGTGCGATAGAACCAACACTGAAGATAAAATACAAAGATGTCAACTGCGGTGACGCTTTCAATGATAATATTTATAAAAATTGCCTTAATTTAAGGAACAATCACTTGGGTAAACGTAGTCAATTAGCTAGACTGATATTAGATTATCAGAGCTATCAAACATAAAAAATGTAGATCGCAGTACATAATCTTTATAAAAAACTTGTAAAACTATTTATCGTAATTTATGTTATTTAAACGCATTAGATCTCCATAAAGCAAAAAGTAGATGTTGACAATTATCAACGATCTAGATCAAAAATATTCAATGTTAGATATATTTTTTATATAGATTTATATATATTCTATTTTCATATCATAAATTATGTATTGTACTTTTTTCGTAGTATCTGTTGCATGTATTTTAATGTTGTCGTTGTCATTAATCAATTCAACTGTAAACTTTAATTATGCGTTATAAATATAGACGTTCTACTGCAACATGTTTACTGTTTAATTTTTTATTATTTTGAACTAAATACCGATGAGAATAAGTCATTTACGGTCAAGCTGGATCTTGGATACTTCTAATATAATGTAAGTCTAAAAAAATTTCGGCGCGCATTTAGGGATCTACATACGTAGTATATAAATTCACATGAGATTATATTAGAAACATCCAAGATCCAGCTTGATCGTAAGTGGCTTATTTTCATCGGTATATTTAGTTTGAAACTCTCACTATCCAAATAAGATTTGATATTGTATTATTTTGGTAGACGTTGAAACAGCAAAGTGCCTAATTATTTGTGTATTTACTCATCTCTGTATACTCTGGATGTAATTCTTAAGTACACAATAAATTAAAATTAAATTAAAAAAATAAATAAATAAATTATATATATACATATGTCAATTTTATATATTATATGAGCATTTTATTTATTCATGATTTTATTCTTGAAAAAAAATGTATAATTATTTATAGTGTTAATTTCTGTTTATTTTAAATGGTAGATCTAGGTTTGTATTCTTTTACAATTGTAAAAAAATAATTGTATCTATTACAATTACGATACAATAGCGAAGTATATATAAAAATTTCAAGGAATTTTAATGAATTATAAAATTATCGATATATTAACAAAGAGATATCGCAGAACAAAAATTATATATTTGACTTTCTTGGAACACTTTAAGTCTATGAATATATCACTATTAATCACTATCCGATTCTGATTCAGATAACTGCAGATCATCATTTAAAATATCGTCCGTCACGAACAATGTGGGTGAGACAGTTGTACCATTCAAATTACCTAAAAACAAATTTTTATATATACAATTTTAAACAAATGAAGTTTATATATAATTGGAAATCATTTTACTAAATTTATTTAAAAAATGATGTAAAGAAAAGTTATAATATATTTTCTATTTACCATTAATTCCTATTGGTATCGAGATTACATTTTCTGTTTCGTAATCACTACTTGAGCTATCTGAACTCGAACTGCTCGAACTGGAATCGCTCTCTAAGGTTGTCGATTTTGTATTTGATATTGGAATTGACTGAGGAATTACGGTCTGTGTACAAGAAGAACCGGGCATCACTGATGACAATGCAAAATCATCATTGTCGGATCCGATCATCGGCAGACTGGCTAAGGTCGGTTGCCCACTTGACGATTGCACAGGTGAAGAGCTGTTATTCAAATCAATGCAATGTTTATAGCACATTCATTAATTTCATGGTTAAATTTTGGGCATGTATGTACAAGTCAATAATGCAGCTAGTCTGCTCATTTTAAGCAATTAAATGTAATTGAATTCTTATAAATCCATAGTCAATCAAATCGTTTGCGTTCCACTAGCGGTACGTTCAGGATTATGCCCAGATAATTGGAAATCAATCATGTAACTTTTTTTTTCTAAACCGGAACATTTTTATTGTATACTGTATATACACTAAATACGTATTTATTTAGCACTGGTGGTGAGGGGGGGCTAACTTACAGCATAAATTTTTCTCTGTGTGTATGTGTGCGTGTGTGTCGACTTTCTTGTGTGAGGGGGGGGGGGGGCTCCACTACTGTTAAAAATAACCTAACCCAACGCATTTGTTGGTGTGGAGTGCTTCGCGTAAAAAGTAGAACAGTACAATTATGGAAATCGTGCGCCTCTATTATCATACATGTATAGCAGAAATAAAATGTAATTTTTCAAATTTTTTTGTTCATAACTTTTTAACGGACAGCGACCATTACCTAAAACCTGGTGGAGGTCACTCAAGGTCACGACCTTGACAACATATGTCAAAGTCATCGGAGATGACTCCCCTTTTCTTTATATTTACTATTGATGTATGCAAATTGATTGATAAAAAAATATATTATATCAGAAGACGCGGTAGTGTTTTCGGCCATGTTAAAAAAACTACTAGTTAATTTAAAAGTTAGTTTAAAAGATTAATAATAGACACATTGTGTGTGTGTGTGTGTGTGTGTGCGTGCATGCGCGCGTCGTTGTTTTGAATCATGCATATATGACAGAGTCCCTATATTGAAATAGTTCCTATATTTACTTTAATTTCCACCAATAAAGATTAACTTTAATCTCGGTTTAACTTACTGTTTATCTTTTTCTAATTTTTATAACTAGAAAAAGACAAAGAGTAAATTGAACCGATATTAAAGTTAATCTGCATTGGTGAAAATGAGCATTAATCGTTCATAGCTAAAAAATAAGGTATTGAAATAAAAAAAAAATTTACAGAGGATGAATAATACATTCATGATTCCTGATCGAAATTTCAAGAAAATGTTAACCTTCTTTATAAAAAAAATATTGCAAAAAAACTATTTTTTAGTATTAAACCTCAATTATCTGACGTGCTGGAATATTTTTATTTGCGACATCGTTTTCAGTATTAAAAAATTTATAAAATACATGTAGTCCAATCCAAAGTAATTTTTGCTGTAAATTAGTATAATTAAAATGTAATAAATATATGAACTCTCAAATTTTAACACACACACGCACGCACGCACGCACGCACAACAAAGTTATTATACAATATTTTGCTAAATAATAATTATCTCGTAGAATTTATTTTTGAGAGAGACAATTAATACATATTTGAAATCGCTTTTCTATAAACGTTCTTTGGAATAAAATAATATAAATATTAATCAGATAGATAGAAAGTGAGTTTCTAGTTTGTATATTACCATATACCGTGTCAATCGCAAAATAAATTTTATATTTATTAATAAGATTATGAATGTTAAAATGTTAAATTATCCTTTTTTTTTTAGTTCAAATAAATTGAGTAAGTTTTGACTAAAGTTTAAAAATATTTTCCAAAAATTTTCTTATAAAAATATAATGTAGATATATTAAAAATTTTTTTAATTTTATGCAAAAATTACGATGCGTCCTTGAGACAAATTAGAAGAAAATTAATAACTGCAATATTTTAATATCGCAACCGAATAGCAAATAAAACACAACTAATTAATCTAAACTGAACACAATCTAATCTGAATCATTCCTTCAATCTATTTAAAAAATTTGTTTATTTAAAAAATTTGATAATATATACTTATTGACAGATGTATTAGGTGGACTTGGTTTATCGTACGGTGATGTCCGTGGCGAACTCTGTTTGGGATGCAATTGCAGTGAAGGTTCTCTCTTCTTCCCACTAATAACTTTGGTCCTCCCGTTCGCTCTGCCATAAGTAGGGCTCTTTTTAACCTCAACAGACATGGAATTGTTATTGCTATTACGTTTGAGTTCCGCTCTGCAAAAAACAGAAGTCATAAGACTTGATAGCGCATAAAAATGCAATGCAACAAAAAATGGATTACGATGAACATACCGTGTCTTCTTAACTTGAATATTCGCAGTTAATTTTTCCAACGTAATTTCCCCGGTAGTTTTATCAAAAATTAAGACGTACTCCTTGTTATAAGGTCTCTGCGAACCCTTGAACACAGTATGAGGGGTACCAGCACCATCTAAATGAGGCACAGTGACTGTTATCGTGTTGTCTGAACCCACGTCGACTCTGGCAACCTTGGACTCGTCAACACTCGCAGGTTTGAAATCATCTGGAAAAATCATAGTCAGATTCTGTGATCGAAAGGAAGATAGAGATAAAAATTTGGACATAGATAATAAATTATTTAAGAGAAAAAATACAGAATATGATCGATGATATGCTCTTTGAAGACTCTAATATTCAAATTATGAAGCTTCTAAACTTTGGTATTAAAATTTTGAAAAATTCGAAATTTTGATACTTCAATCTTTGAAGCTTCGAAGAATCAGAATTATATAATTATAAATAGGGTAGATCTTGATATTAGTAGAATTGAAGACCATGACATTGAACAACATCCACAAGGTTTTAGCTGTCATTTCCTCATGTAATGCTAATGCCGGTAATGCCGTAATCTTTTAAATCTTATAACTCGAAAAGTACTTCATGGAAAAATGTTTTATTATAGTGTTTTCGAAAGGTCTTAAAAAGGACTATAATAATATGCAATAAAATCTAGAGCATTACATCTATCGATGAGAGAACGAGTGGCTGACTAACATTGTGAGTCTGTAATTTCTTCGCACGCTTGCACAATCCTCTACATTAATGATTGCAAGTTATTAATGGGCACTTCATACACATTTTATTTTAAAGTACCCCATACAAAAAAATCTAATGGTGTTAAATTCGGTGAACGCAGAGGCCAAGCCACGGGTCTAGCACAATCGATTCATCTTCCAGGAAAATGAGTATTAAGCAACTGTCGAGGACTTCTGTCATAGTGAGCAGGACAACCATCCAATTGAAACCAGAAATTCATTCTCATATTCAAAGGAATATTTTCCAAAAGGTTATACAATTTATTATTTAAAAATGTGTGTGATAATCCATTCGCATTCAAGCGAGTTTAATACTACAGTTCTGTATAACTTCAGAAGTAAATATCTCTTGAACGAAGTGTTTGCGAGTATACGTTGAGAAGAAATTTGTTGTTTGTTTTCAAGTCCTGAATTCATATTTTAAGTTTGGTGATTTAATCCAGGAGCACCCTGTATAGTGTATACATATCTAAAATAGTTCTTTAATAACTTGCTTGTTTTTGATGATACAAAAAAATGTTTAAATTGCCTCACCCTGCATACATAGCTTTTAAAGCTTTGAATCTTACAAATTGTCAG